ACAAAAAAAAAACATACATATTAAAGAAAAAAAAAATCAAATTTTAATAGTTCGATAATTTATTTCGAATAAGTTTTTAGATCATAAATACAAGTAGTTTCTAATTTCTTAACTAAATATCACTTCAGATAATGATTTTATTAATCACATAATATTATAAAGAAGCCTTCAAATCAAGTTACGTCTGGATTATATAACAAAATATTATTCAACATAGTTAATATATATCTTATTATATACAAGTCGCGCTCTCAGAATGAAAGTGACCTAACTCAACATTTCCTTAGCTAGAAATTGCTTAAAAAGTTCTTTCTTGTTTTTTTATACCGAGGCAGGCAAATGACTCTACCTCACCTGATGTTAAGTGGTGATAAAGTCCAAACGCGAAGATAGCTGGTACAGCAGTTATGAACTGCTACACCAACCATCCTCACCTTGCCGGCCTGCAAAAATGCTTCTTCAAATCTCTCTTAAAGGACTCCAGATTATAGGAAGGAGGGAATACGTGCGCGGGTAAAAAAATCCACATACTAATAGTACGACACAGAAATGAGTCACCAAATTTCTTTGTTCGTGTAGAAATAGTGTATATATATATATAGATATATATATAATAGTGTATATATATGTATGTCCGCGCCCGCAAGTACCAATTACTATGGTTCTCAAGAGAGTTTTGTTTATGTTAGTGCTTATCGCACGCTTGAATGTTTCATGGGAACGATAGCGACATAATTATCATCGCTATGACACTGAACGAAGCAGCGAGTCGATTTAAAGCTTATCTTAATTTTTTTTTACATCAGACTGAAAGTTTGTGAGAATGTATTGTAGGCAGAGCGATATTGGTCTTGGTGGTGACAGAACGGACCTACGGATTCGTTAACCGTTCCTCTTATAAAACTAATTCCATGTGATTGCGAGATATAAGTAGTTTCAATGCAGTGAATGTTTTTAATTTTAGACTTTTTAGTGAACAGTAATTTGTATAGGGCTTGTTCAATCGTTTGATTCACTAAATTGCATCGCAAAACCTATCTGATGACGTCCGAGAGCCGTTCGCTCTGACATATAACCTACAACCCTACGGAGGTGAACCCATGTCATCTTAAAATTGTTGTATTCTTAGATTAATTCCTAACAAAGGGAATTTTCAAACAAGGCTGCGAAGTATGAGCTATTGTAGATAATAGTGTACGTGTCATACAACAGAAATCATATAACATTTTATACAATCTGGGAAACCTTTACCTACTATTGAAGTTGTATCTCTGAGTATAAGTAAAGTTTTCAGTTCTCCACGTGGTACGGGATGGGGTAAGGGAAGTTGTAGGCATCACAAGTGTCAAGTATAGGCTATCGTTGGCTATGACAGTTGATTACCATCAAGCAGACAATAAGACGAAAGCGTTTTCATAAAATTCATTAAAATTTAATAAAATTATTAATTATATTTTGGTTCCACTAAAGTTCTCCGTTACCAGTGTAAATAGTCGAAAATTTGTCAAAAAGGCAGACATTTTTTTTACTTAATTGAGTACGCTTTTAATTTTATCAACAAGTAATACTTATATGCTATCATATACGATAACTGTAATAAAGTACCTAATATTTAAAATTTTGATCACATTTCGTTTCAAAATTGTTTCCAAAACACTGTTATATTTTCAATTTTACAAAGTTACGTACAAAGAAGTATGCTTTGGTAAGAAACATTTCCTATCACCACTGTGTCATTAATAATCTTATTTCTTATAAAACATTAAACATAAAAATCACGGACATTTAGAAACTGCGCTCCGTTAAGCGGCAACTCGAGGCGGGCGCCCGCTCGGCGTGTTTGTTTCATATTATTTCATAGAGCAACGCTGCGTGAGGCGGGTCTTCCGCGCGGCAGTACCTCTAGCACGAACCAATATCAAATTCGAAGGGTTTACGAGTACGAAATCTCATTGTCAAATGTGTACTGATTTTTAGTTCTCGTTGTGTACGTTATGGCGCTGCTGTTCAAGTTTTCATACAAAATTTGGCATGACATTTCGGACTTGCAAACTATTCGAATGCGATATTGGTTCGTGCTAAGGGTACAGGTCTCTATGAAATGACATAAAAACTGCACGCCGGGAGGACGTCCGCTATACCTGTCCCACTTAAGGCAGCGCACGCTCTAAAACCCCTTCTTAATGTCTTGAAAAAATACACAACACGTATAATTTATTTTAAATAACATCATATTGAATCTTTTTTCTTTATTTCAAATCAATTCGCACTTATGGTAAACAATTTTGATTTATGTAATTTTACACGTAATCCAAGTAACCCTTTATAAAAGAAACGAATGTTCCTCGCAGTTTCGTCTCCGTAGCCGAAACAGGTACACGATTTAAAATTCAAACGTTATCTTAATGTAAAGATTATGAAACTTAATTTGTACAAGGATTTTCAGAGAGAGAGAGAGTATGTCCCCAGTAGGCCAACATTACTAAATAAAATGATATAAAACATTGTTAACTTTCTATACAAACTTGACGTGAACAGACTTTGCGAGATAATTATAAGCATTACTACCTATCCGCCTCTAGTAACAAAATAGCATTTTTCTAAAAACAACAAACGAAGAAGAACAAAAGAAGCATAGCTAACGACCAAGTATAATTGCGCCTTCATGCTGGATTGGGATCAAAAGTTAAAAATATAAACTTTGATATAAACAACATGTGACACAAATACTGGAAAATGTGGCGATGTATAGACATTTGCTTCAGGAATAAGATATAATCTACAGGATAATGATCTCATCACAAAATTATAACACAAAAGCTAATAAGAACGACATTCTCCCGATACTGTCCGAGTTCCCCATATGTGTGTGCCGATTTGTCATCGCGGTTAAAAGGAATTGTTAATCTTTCTTAGCCAAAGGAGTTAAGTTATATCTAGCCCGCAATGACTGATTTTAAGTATCTAGGGGAAACCACCCAATCATTGGCACTCGTCCTATTTGGCACTTTTGAGTTTAATTCGAAAAAAATAAGGAGACAATAGATTATTGAAGGTCGTTACATATTAAAAAGAAAAACCTAGTATGGTTACGAAATTTGAAAATTGGCAGCATTATTCCTATAATCTATTGTTTCCTGTTTTTTTTTGAAATAAACTCAAAAGTAATACTCCAATACTAGGAAGAGTGCCAATGATTGGGTAGTTTCCCCTACTTCTATTTTTTACGTTGCTTTTCCACAACAAGTTTTCACTGCTTTACTTGTTCCCATATTCTTTTGACAGTGTTGAGGAAATCCGAAAAGCTTTTAACAAAACAATACTTTAGGTTTATATGCATACTACAATATTTATAGTAGGCGAAAGCAAATAATGCTTTTATCTCTGAAATATCTAGGCGAGTAAAATGTCTCAAATTGCACGTAAAACGCTGTGTCACGTGGAATGTCTTAATTATCTTAATTTAAACGTATTTAACATTAAATAGTATAAAAATATATCCAACTTTAAAACAAAGGTACCACCATAATTATTTACCTAACTAATTAAACTTAATTAACCATTTTAATACTTTTCTTTATTTATTTATGATTTTAGAAATCGCAAAAGTATTAATAAATTGGCATAACGAAATAAATCATTTTTAAATTATTAACAAACATTCAAAATCGTAACAGAAAAAGAAATATAAAAATCGAGACTATTCATACCGAGAAATACCGGATAAAGATGAACATATATTGCAACCAACAGTAATATACCACAGTTCTGTTATAATTAGTAAAAGTAAGAACAAAGTGCCATGGTAATCATGGATTCAAAGTTAATGGTGTGAAGTTAGCAGCGAGCATAGGCAACAAACAATACGCAAGTTTCAGCAACTTCTTGCGCGCTACAAGCATCTACATCACCCTGCTTTTCGTTTACTGTGCCGCGACTTGCGCTAACTTTACAACCTCCAATAGGTTTGAATCGCATTGTATTTAAAAATAATGATTTCTTATAGAATATTACAGCTATTAAGAATGTGAGTGCAACCCTGAAGTGGAAACAATAACTCCGTCGATTGTGACCGCCGAAGCTTTACACTTGTGCTTGTGTTTCTTCGAGCAAGTCCATCTGATCCTGTCGCCGATGAGGGAGCGAGAGTGCCTGAAGTATTTGTGGCCACCAATGTAGATATTGGTGCTTTCCTTGGCGAAGCGAGCTCGGAGAATAGCAGTGACTATGTCTGAAAACCGAGGAACATTAACAGTCTATAAAAAATTAGAAACAAACATAGGTATTTCATATGAAAATGCTTAATTTGAAAATGTGTACCAGTAATAGTTCTGAACGTAGTACTGAACGGTTAAATGAAATGAATGTTAAAACAATGTAATAAAACAACATTAATTTTAAAACTGACTTTGTAATACAAAAATATCGAAACAAGTTTTAGGTAAGGGTGTACCCTTAAAACATAAAAAGAAAGACATGAAATCTATCTATCTAAACAACAGATCACTATGAAGACAATTATAGAAATATGTGTTATGTGGGTATTAGGTTAGAAGACTCAGATGCAGTTGCAACTTATACCTACTGAAAGTTGTATCTATAGTTTGTAATACTGTCCTGTTTTTGTGATAACATATTTTGGTGCTTCGTGGTTATGTTTCTCGGTGAGAAATGTCAACTGGCCATCTGTGGACTGTCGCGCTTTGGCTGGGCAACCGGCCCAATACCTGGAACAGTGCCAGTTGTTAGGTTTGTTCTCAGTGAAGGTATAACCGTTTATCATTAGCTTTTTCTTTTTCTTCTCACTTGGTGTTGGTATCACATACACTAAAAATGAATATATGAAATTTAATATACTAAAAACACAACATATAAATGACACAATCGTTCACCTGTTTGCCACTACAGTTCTAGATTGTAGTAGACGTTGTGCTTCAGATATAACGTTTCAAAAGATTGGCCGTTGCGAGCCTTTTAATATTACTAAAAAAAACAATATTTCCATAAAAAACTTGTTTATTTTGAACATTTGAAGTTACTTAAATTATATTTTTTCTTGTCTCACTGGCCTTTATTGTGTTCGTGATGGTTCACATACTTGATTATTACATCTTCAACTGTCCACACCCTTGCCTTGCAGCCTTCATTCCTTTTATTACACCTCCATACGACTTTGACTCCGGTACCTCCTTGCTTGTTGAACCTATGACCGTTAATCAACAATACTCTGTTCCCCTCTTTGTTAATCACATATTCGCAGTAAACTGAAACAAAAAATATCAAAGAAAATAGATGAATAAGTGTGTAAGGTACATCCTTTTTTTTTATAGACAGGTCCGACAAATGCCTCCACCCCACCTAATGTTAAGTGAAGGTGAAGTCTAGACGCGAAGATAGCTGGTACAGCAGTTCTATCTGCCACACCAGCCATCCTCATCTGCATGTTACTTCTTCACGCCTCTTTTAAAGGATCCCAGGTTGTAAAAAGGATCGAACACGTGAGCAGGCAGAGCATTCCATTTACGGATAGTGCGACTAAGAAATTAGTTACCAGATTTCTTTGTACGCGTTGGAATTGTGGCCACAGTTAGACGGTGACAACGAAGGCCAACGCACGTGATTCTCTGAAGGAAAGGGGAAGGTGGAATAAGAAATAATAACTCCTCAGAACACTCGCCATGGTACAGGCGATAGAACGCGCTTAGTGACGCCACGTCACGGCATAATTGAAGGGGCTCGAGGTGTTTAGTCACCTCCTCATCGCCTATGATGCGGATCGCGCGCCGCTGTTACCTCAACATTTTACTGTAGAAACATTTTACTGCACTCACCCATACATGGCGCTGTGCTTATTCTTTACGTTTTTTTTTATTTCGATCGAACATCCTTGGAAACACTTTAAATCTATATGTTTGTCTCTCAATTTAATACAAAAAAACAGAGAAGAAATATGTAGTTCTACTTTTCACCACCCGCACGTGACGTCATTTGGATATTTGCGATATTTTCTTATTAGAAAAAGCTTCATTACCTAAATTAGGTAAAGGGACTGTTTTTTCGCAAATGTATTGAAAAACATTGTATGATATTCGTGTGGAATTGGTATTTATATACTCGTAACTACTACTACCTCGACTTCGTCTCGAGCTTACATTCTGTTCTGCTTACACTCGTTTGTACACCAACAAACCGCACTAATATCATAAATATCTAATTCATGTTATATTACTTTTTTTAACTATCAGCTAAAACTACAATATAAATATTACATATAATTATTTTCTTTTATGTTTAAGGCCAAAAGTGGTTGTTGCTCAGCGCGCTCAGTCTATTAAATACAGAATAATGAAAATGAAAAGTTATTTATTCAGCCTAGGCTGTTACAAGCACTTGTGAAGGTCAAGAAGCTAACATAACAGTTTTTAACGGGTTATATATATACTGAATTTATTTAGTAAAAAAAACAGTGCATATAACCCGTTAAAAACAGTTTTATTTAATGAGTGATGTGCGTGAAAACCTAAGAAACGAATAGTCACTCCATGTTTGGTCTCTGTTTATTTAATGACAAATGACATTTTAGTGATATAAACAAAACACGGCGTAACAATTCGAAGCTTATTCCTCGTTTATCAATAAGGGGGTAAGTGTCACGAGAAGCTAGAAGCGGCTATTAAGGTTACTGAAGCGCGACAGCGGCCGACTAAGGTAAGGGAGAGAGGGGTGGGGAATCGCGCGAGTGACGTGTGGCGGCGTTTTCAATTAAGCATTCGCATTAAGTGGCCGGTGCGGGCCACAAGAAGCGAGCAACGACGATTTGTAGCGTGTGGCGGCCACCGGCGTACCGTGTGTGAGGAGTCCATATAAAATGTATGAAAACTACAAGAAATATGCCGGTGGCGGCGTTTTGTGGACGGTGGCCCGTGTACGGCGACACTAAGGGTTAAAATTTTAGAATGTCTGTGTAAGAGGCCTCAAATTAAGGAGAAATTAAAGAAAAATAAAACCACATTAATTATTCAACTCGACCGTAATTATTCAACTCGATCGTAAAATTAAAATCCACATTATTCAACTTGGTCATAAATTTATTAATACGCACAGAAAAGAGGGTAAGAAAGTCGAAGGATTCTTCAAAAAAGCTCGAAAAATAGCTTAAAAGTAACGTCATCACTCCTGTTCATTATTTGTATAACTTCAACTTACAGCAAGATGGCAAAGATAATATATTTATCAAATGATATATTTGTTGGATAACTAACCGTCACTTGCCGGTTTTTGCGCCCGAGTCAAAGGATATCGTTGGATCTCGCAAGGAAAATGAGAAGAACCGTGTATCTGTATACATTTTGTCGAGTCTCGTCCGGAGGCTCTCGGCAAGTATCTACAGCTGTCATAACAAAAATATTTTACATTCAAACAAAGATTGCACACACTGCAAGACCAACAGATACTATTAGTTCTTTTTGTTTGCATGATTTAACATAAGAAGGAGATAGAAAGCCTCTCTGAGTTTGTTTCGCCGGTTCTTCACAGAAAGATCTCCCAATTTATGGAACCGGTGAAAGTTTACGGTAGTTACTAAATTAACTAATAAATTAATTAATCAACAAAATTTTAAAAATCTTCCAATGTAATAACCGATGGCTCAATAAAAGTCTTTCGAAGGTAGCTAGACAAAATTAAATAAAAAATCAGTATTCTGACGATGCAGACCTAAAAAGGCTGCGAAACGTCAATAAATAAATAAAGTTTCGTGCATTAACCCGTAAAAACTAGTTTTACAAAAATATTTTTAAGTGTACGTTAGTAAATTTTATCCAAGTATTTTTTTAAGCTATCATAGATTATTGTCAATGATTGTGCATGTTTCTGAGGCGGATGAGACTGTTACAAACTGTCACTGCGGACACTTTACAGCCGTAGTTCCTTTTCACGCATCTCCAGAACACCTTCTTGTTGCGCTCTATATCCTTGTTGAAGCGATAGTTGTCGATTATGAGAACCAGGTTACCTTTTAAATTTCGACAGAATGTGAAAGAGTGGTACTCTGAAAAAAATAAGAATAATGTTGAATTGTTACTATTTTCTACGGAATATTATACTAATAATAATAATATATTGTTTAAAGCTTTCATCGTCACTAACAAAATAGTAATATAAGTTATTTAGGGGATTGTTACCATGTACCTTGTTTTAAGCGAGTTTCCGATATTTCGGCACTGTTGCAAGCGCCATGATCGGAAACTCGCTAAAAACAAGACATGGTAACAATCCCGTAAATAACTTAAATAAGAAATAAGTAAATAATTTAGTAAATAAATAACTTATATTACTATAATAATAATAATAACGCTATTAATAACCATATTATGGTTATCACTAGCTCATTAATTCCCCAGTTATTGTTTTGAGGTCTACCCTGAGACCCGAGGCAGTTTTGGAAACTTCAATCTCTAATATAATACATCACTAACTATAATTAAATGTCAAAAATCAGAAATTCCATGTAAATCTCAGTGAAATATTCGTCTAGAATCACTGTTGAAACATAACAAGCATACTACGTAACACATGAAATATCATTATATATTGTAAAAATATTGAACAATTGTGATTGATTGTGTTCGACGACCTCCGTCGCCGAGTGGTTCGTACGCCGGGTATCATGGTGTCGCCGGCTCGAGAGGTCCCGGGTTCGAATCCCGGTGGGGGGCAGATGTTTGAGTGATGAATACGAGCTGTACTCCAGTCATGGATGTTTAATTTGTATTTCTATATAAATATACTTATATATGTACGGTATATGTATTCTATCCGTTACCCTAGTATACCATAACACAAGCCTTACAGTGCTTGCTTTGGGGCTAGGCTAATTGGTGTGAGTGTTGAAAATATTTATTTATTTAATTGTAATTGAATTTACATACTTACTGATTTCTGACCAGAATATGAGCCTAAGACGCAATAGTCCATATTGAGAATAGAACCTACTAACGAATGAATTTCTGAGTCATTTGACAATAAAAAGTACCAAGATACAACATTTAAAAACTTTATTTCAAAAAATAAATAATAATATGTACATATTCAATAAATTAAAGGAAAAGTCCTTATGGCTGAAGATGCAATAAAAAGTCAACAGGGATTTAGCGGTTAGACTTTTCATTCAAGGTACTAGCACAAAAAAATAATCAAAGTAAAGACGACGTAATAAGACTATCTTGGCAGCGCAATATACGTAAAGAAAGGGGATTTCTAAAGTCGTTTTATAGCGACATTTAAAAATTACAAGGTCTGTGATTCTGATATAGGATGATGTAGAGTAATACACTCGACACATGCCACAGCAATCTGTATTACTTCTATAGTGTCAACGAAAGATGGCAACTATTTAAATTTATTTACTAGAGCATCGATGTGTTTTAGTACCACAAAAGACTATGTAGGTACAATATATGTCGTTTATTCAGTTGAGACTGTTACAAACACTTAAGAATGCAAGTAGAACAATACGCCATCGGCGCAATGGCGGGAGAGCTCACAAAAATCTCCTATATGTCAACCTCCTCGAACTCAATGCAAGACCGTTTATTGATCATAATAAATCAAAATGGGGAAAAAAGCGGTCAAGTGCAAGTCGGACTCGCCCATGAAAGGTTCCGTAACATAATATAAAAGTTCTTGTGGTCCACGGTTTATGCATAAGGTTTTTTTTGTTATTTTATTTTTATTTTTATACACTTGAGTTGACTGAAAGAAAGGTAAATTGTGGTTTACGATTTATGAGGTATTAAAAAATATATATACTAGATCTCGTTCAAACTAATTTTCGGTGGAAGTTTTCATGGTAAAGAACACTATATCGTTTTAAGACCTATCCTTAAATCACCCACACGTATGAGTTTGATGAAAAAGAATTTTTGAGTTTCATTTCTAAGTATGGGGAACCCCCAAAATATATTGTTTTTTTTTTTCAATGTTAGATAAATTATAAGAAAGTTAGCTACAGATAATTTTTCAAGATTTAGATCATGCTCTAATATTTGGGCACAGATAATTTTTCAAGATTTAGATCATACTGTAATATATGGGCACAGATATTTTTTCAAGATTTAGATCATACTCTAATATTTGGGCTTCTTCAACGTGGAGACCACAACTCGGTAAACGTAATGTAGGATGCCCTGAGACAAGATGGTATGATGACATTCGTAGGCTGGCTGGAGTGGGCTGGTCATTAGGGGAGACTTATGTCCAGCAGTGGACGAGCATAGGTTGATGATGACGAAGGCATCAACCGATGAATGCGTAGTAATTCGAGTACAAACTCTTCAATGTTTCTTGATGTTTATTCATGATTATGGTCTAACTTGGTCTTCACTATGGTGTCATTTATGGTAATAATGCTACCTCTACACTTGGTCACTTTACGTTTCGGACATCTCCATTCTATTTTATGGCCCGTTTGGCGTTCTTTATTGAAAACATAACCACCAATAATTAACCTCTGGCCACGAGCTGTAGATACAAACATGTGCTCTCCTGTTAAAACAAATTACAATAATACATATAAGTTAAATAATCTTAATTGCGACTATGTTACCAGATGAAAAAATCAAAAGTCATAAGGAAAGGTCTGAATATTCATTGGAATATCCTAAAATTTTGTTGCAGTTTGAGAATATTTTTTCAAACGTACTTAACAATTTAAAATGTACTATTATTTACGTTTTTCTCCACTGTGGATCTAGTTTTTATACGATCTAGATCGCACCTTACTATAATAGTTATTTGTGACACAAACCCGGAAAGTAGGTTATTTATTACAAATAAGTACCACTGTTTTCAGTGGTACGCATTCTTAATAACCTTTTACGCTCACGTGTTATACAAGATTTTTCAATGTTTTTGGCGAGGAAATAAAATATGTACAAATAAACCCATTTATAGCTGCAATGCAATGCAATTACACTCGTTATTTTAGCTCGTTTTCGGGTGACCGAAAGATATTACTCGAATTCGGGTATCCGAAGCAATATATACTCTAGAATACGGGCTGGAATACGGTGCCGGTAACCAAAACGAAAACTACCTGAATACGGGTGTTATCCACTCCGTTCGTTTATTCGGACTAACGACCAAGTGTAATTGAGCCATTATTTAAAATACATACTTAACTAATATTTGTCGTGTAATATAAAAATGGAACTATCCTTTACTTCGAAATATGGAAATCAAGGAAGTAAATTTCGAACTGTCCTGCAAATAGAAAGCTGTTTATTTAAAAAAAAAAACAAATGAACACAATGCAGCGTGGCGTTAGGGCGTGGCGCAAGGAAAAATAAAAAAGTTATTCGCACAAGTTCGGAAAAGAGTCACTTTCCGCATAATTTGTATACATATAAAAGAACACTTTCCGAGTAAATGCATTGAAAAAAGTACTTTCATTAAAATAATTAAGATAAAACTCATTATTTTCTATTTGAAATAATTCTCCAACTTTTAAATTTAATTTTCTCTATTAGAAGGTTTTTCTTTTAATTTGTTAAACTTTTGTTGAAGAATCATTTTAGTAGGCCGGCAAGGTAAGGATGGTTGGTGTGGCAGTTTATAACTGCTGTACTAGCTATCTATCTATCTAGTGTTTGGACTTTATTACCACTTAACATCAGGTGGGTTAGAGTCATTTGCCTACCTGACTATATAAAAAAAAATGTATTAAAGAGATCATATATCTCCAATTATTGAGATTTGCCAAAGTAGGCCAAAATCAGGAAATGAATCTAAAAAACCTTATGTGGACTAATCTAGAGATATGGTAACCCTTATTGTGTCGAACAACTTCATAAATTGTGAGAAAAATAAAATTAATATAAAATTTAGTGTAAAGACTCTTTTATTGCAGGTAGGTAGATATTATAGATATACTGATACCAAATGATTTTAATATTTCATAAGAAATATAAAATGTGTAACTAGATACATTACCATCTGATTTAATAAATGTAAAATTAATTTTTGGAAAATATTTTAATCATTGCTCTAATACTCTTATTTTATGGTCGCAAATTTATATAAGTAAATAATACAAAAAAAAAAATGTTCGATTCCGATACATCACGCTTAATATCTAATGGTATATAATGAAGGACTAGGTTACTACCACGGATACAAGACAGACATGATTTTATTCATTATATAGACTTATATTTTCCTATGAATCGCATTTAGTTTAGAACCGACAACTATTTTAGAAATAGTTTTCAAAGGTATTATCACAATAATAAAATTATATAAGAGGTATTTTCACATCAATTGATAAATAATAATAATAAATAATTCATAAATAGACAAACAAATATAAATAAGAAAAAAAAATCACACCTAGCGCCCGAAGTCAATATTGCTTGCTACTGAATCACAGAGCCGACCGAAAAAAATATAATTGACAAAATACACTGAAAATGGCAATACATAATATACAATATATCAATAAAATTTTCACTAACTCTAAGAACATTACGTAACTAGTCATGAATATAAAAAGGATACTCATTGATTATGTTGTAAAGATTGAAAGATGCAGGTACAGATAGACACAATAATACAAAAGCCATAATTTAGAGATCATAACATTCAGACAGTAAGGTAAGGCATTTTATTTATAGACACACATCTCAATAAATTAGCTATATTCCGGTTACCGCTTCCTATATAAGACAAAATGTATCTAATCACCCTTACAGTCGACATTTGGATATTTCAGAAACACTAATCATTAGTAATCAACAAAGTATTTCATGAATTATTTATGCTTATTTTCTTTCAAATATTCCAATACAATAGGTAGTATGTATTCAGACATATAACCGCCTCTCTGTAACATTATAGATGTAACATTCAATCGATTTATCGGACAAGTGGGCCAGGAATCAATTCGTTCGATATTAAATTTAGTTGTTATATTCTTCAGGATGTTTGTGACATTCTCTGAGTCTGATGATGACGTTATCAATGGTGGTGACGAAGGCTGGGCAACCCACATTCTTCTTTACACACCGCCATCTTACCTTTATACCTTCGTTCTGATGGACAGTATAGCGATTGTTTCCCATGTCCAAGCACCTTTTCCCGGAACTCGTGAAGCCGAAGATAGCTAGAATATACGTAATTTAGTAAGCGACAGGCAAAATGCACATCACAAACTACATACACTACTTGGATACCACAGACATTTAAAATGGGTATCTGTCTTAGGTTCTTATAGTACAGTCAATCTGTAGGTTGAGTGGTGAAAAAAAAACCTAAAGGGTAAGTCTTGTTTTTTCTGTTGCCAAATGACGTCAGTAAGCCACCTTGGCGATGGGCATGTTCAACTCGTAGGCGTTTTTTTAAAAACTCAAAAAAACCCTCAAAAATTTTTTGAAACGCATTTTTCTTGTTTTGTATGCATTTTAGAAACTTTTTTTTCAACCGTAATTGTAGAGGGCGTTGAGTACTACAATTTATGTCATTGTTGCAATCTCGTACAACAAAAAATGCGCATTGTAGGTGGCGCTAGTCTCAAAAAAAGTGTTTTTGTGTGTAATGTTTACCTCGCTAATGGTAGCAACGTACCTGGAATAAAAAAACGGCGGTCACAGTAATAAACCTTGAAGGAAACCCAAAACAAATTATAATGCCAAGGAAGAATGAAATAAAGTAACAATTTCAATATTTCAGGTACATACACACACGTTTATTGATTCACAATTGCTAAAAAAAAACAATTAAAGATTTATTACATTAATATATTCTACTCTTGATATTGACATGATCTTAAAACATTTCATATAATCTAAAGATACTTTAGTTGAAATTAGTATTTTGATGTGAAACTTCCTATTGGACAATACCCGACTTTTGGTATGAGGGTAAATTATTTATTAAAATTATTTCTTATAAAATCAATATGACAATAAAGTAAGTGTTATGCGCTAATGTAAAGTTATGAAATATGTCATACCATTTTTAAAAGGCACGTGAAATAGTTAGTGTTTCATATAAATCAACGACTGAAAGATGAGGGCTCACTCTTCGTATAGACGTCTATACTTACATACACTGAAAAGACCTCTGAGTAGACTTGCCAACTGCCCCAGATTTACTGGGATGTCGCGATTCATGGTCACCTTATGGTTATCTCCCTTACTTGCGGAATGCGTTTTGTCCGGGATAACAGTAATTATAATAAAGGTAACGATGAAACTACCCTCGGGCTTTATATTGTGTAGTTGATCTGAGAAATAATATTAAGTGAGTTGGATAATTCAGGACAGGCTCTTCCTGGAGCTTGCTAAAGTACTTGTTTTCCCTTGAATAACAGCATTGGAGCTCCTTCTTGTTATACTGGCAGCGGAATGATAATAAATAAATGATAGATAGCATACTACCTGCATGGTTTATCGATTATAAACATATGAATAAATGTCATTTTTGCTTCCATAATTACCAGCCATATTGTATGGCACACATATAAAAGATAATATTGACATTAAAAGTATGGCTTGCGCAGGCGACGGACTTTTATCCGCGGAGGACATTAGTACGCGTTTTATGAAAAAAATTGTCCGCCGAGGACTTGTCACGGACTCCAAGCACACGGTGTGCGGATATTGCCCCCCATAAATTTTGTGAAGAGCATGCTTCGAAAGCAATATTTTGAGAAAAAATGCAGTGTAATTAACTTGAACTTTAAAAAAAAGAAAAGACATTCTAAAGGAGGAACACTGGTCCATCTTTATATCGGAACGATTAATTATTTGTATTTTTGAGATTATTTATTATGCTTTCATTATAATATTGCATATAACAATGTTTCACGATTTTTCTAAAAGATAGTTGAATATAGTGTTAAGCGATGCAAAACAAACGAACATATAACTTGAAGTTGAATTAAACGCTGAAATCACTTCAAATACAAAAAAAACAAAATACAAAAAACAAACACAAAAAAACAAACACACAAACAAAAACAAAATGAGGCTAAGCCACAGTAAAAAAATGTGATTACTTTATTTTCGACACCTTCATTTTTAGACTTGGACAACAATTCTTAATTATTTGATAAATCCGTTAAGATTATTTTATTTGCTAAATATGTTAATATAATATAATAATAATAATGTCTAAAGTCCGCTGTGTGCGTTGCCGCCTCTTGTCACATATGTTCTTTTTTTTTCGAGGAATCTCGCGTACTTTTGTACCTCGGTGTCCGCGGTAGTTCGCAAGAATTTTGTACTTGGAGGACTTGATGCAGTTGTAAGCGATTGTAAGCGGTGGACAAAAGTCCTCCGTGGACAAAGTTTCCTCGTCTGCGCAGGCTATAATAGTTACATACAAACAATATTGAAAGTTTCGTCAAATCCAAAATATTTAAATTAAATGGTTTAGATTTATTAAAGCCTAGGAGTTGTAATAAATAGGTGTTTATATACAGTTATTTACATTACAAAATTCAATAGAAATAACGAATAAGTTACTATAAAATTCCAATTTAGTTTTACCCAAAAAATACTTTAAAAAACAGTCACACGCTCTTAAAAGCTTAAGAGTGATTGTGGCAATTCCTGATTTCGACAACTTCATCGAGTAAGGTGACTAGTTGGGCATTACAGGACCACCTTCTCCTCTTCACGCATCTCCAGGTGACCCTCTGACCGTTTCTGTCCGTTCTCTGATTGTACCTGTGTCCTCCAAGCTCAATCACTCGCTTCCCAAATATGGACTTGCCGAAGATTGGTTTTAGTTCTGCAACATACTATAATGTTAATACATAATCATAATCACTGAATATAATCATTCACATGAATTTGCTATCGGCAATATAGGAACCTAATTATGCGAATATATTCAAAATATGAGTTAACGCTTTTGATTCTTTTAAAACCCACAAGAAATTGTTTTTGGATAATATGGTAATGTTATCCAGACAAACGGAAAGAGAAAATTATTTTGGAGGACATATTTTTTTCTCTATCAATACATTAATAACACTACTTAGATTCATTTAAGTATTTATTTATAAAAAGAGCAATATCATATTGAAACACACATAATTACATTCATACTTCATAGCGAAGTGAGCAGCGAGCGTATCGATGCGCAGATTTTAGTTTCTGAGACATCCCAGACGTCATTACCCTACATTTCGTTTACTTCGCGCTAACTTCACAGCGACTTTTTTAGTTCGAATCATGCTATACCAAATCACAGCATTTAATATTGGGTTAATACATAGTATGTCATGTAATGTGCATGTATACGTTTGAGGATACAGTTGTCAACATCACCTTACATTTCATTTACTGCGTCGCGACTTGCGCTAACTTCAGAGCCGCCTTTAAGTTTTAATCGCAATATACTATATCACAAGGTCACCGCAGTTAATATTTGGTTGACACTTAATGCGTCATTGTCATGTGTATGTATACGTGTCAGGATGGTATTTCCGACTTCACCCTACATTTTGTTTACTACGCCGCGACTCGTGCTTATTTCACAACCGCTACTAAGTTTGAATTAACCTATAATAAAATGCAAAAGCACAGTTGTTAATATTTGGTTAACGGTTGGTTCGGCGCATCGTGGTTGTGTTCATGTTTACGTTTGAGGATGTAACTGCCGAGTGTGATGATGGTCGCTTTACATTCCTTGTAAGCTCGGTTGCAGGCCCAGTACATTGTGCCGCCAAGGTTCCTCTGCTTCATGTTATATCTGTACCCAGAAATTTCGAGGATCGGTAAACCTTTCGGAGATTTGAAGAACTGCATTCCTGGAAGCACATGGCCTTGTTGTTATATTATTGTCAATGTTTTGGTTTTGGTAAAAAATTATCAATTTCAGTAAATTTTGAGAATTTAAATGTAAATGTGAACTTTAACGTCACAGTGACAGTAACATATTTTATAGGTTAGTGCGGAAAGATTAGGACTTCATTGAAAGATCAATCAGGAAGAAATATTATTATAGTCAATAACATGAAACGAATATTCAATAAATACTTTCTTAAAAATGGTATTACTCAAAATGTTTACAATATCATCAACCTTTCACATATTTTGATTAAAGCCAAAAATTGCAAAACATATCAATCACAATAAAGTTACCTCATTTTAAAAGTTTTTTTTAATATACATCTGCTTCATTTATGCAATTGTAATGCATGTTGTTTCTAATTAGTCAAATAACTACAACAATAAAATAAACTTATATAATACAGACGATATCAGAATACAGTAAGACTGTGTTATAATGGCTACTTAGATTGATATAATAATAATAACACACTAGAAATGAAATGTGGTTTCTTTGTGTGTTGCACTAATCATGTTAGATTATGAAATTAACTCTCTTAACTGCTAATGTTTATTAACAAAAATAACATTATCTACTTAACTAAAAAATCGAATCTATTGTTTCCTTGTAAATCAACCGTAACGCGGGACTAAAGTCAAATATTTCATGGATAAAAATTCGTCAACTTTGGCTAGTGCACAAAAAATCGTAGCATATTATTCTTTGATTTATTATCATTTATTCAGAATGAAACAGGAAGAAAAGAAATAGAAATGAATTATAAAATAACAAATGCATATAGATAACAATAACAAATAATAAAGCGATATATTTGTGATTTTGTATTATAGTAAAAATAACTGTATCAAATATCAATACCACTGAAACACTATTGATACTCGTACACGATAATTACTTTGACTTAGCAGAATCGACACCTAGCTCGTATATCATCATCAGCCTATTAAAATCCCCGATGGGGACACCCCACTGCTGGGGCACATGCCTTTCCTATGGATGACATAGGGAGAATGGGTCATGATGAGATCATCTTAAAAGCCGACTTTTAATCTTCTCATGCAGAACTCAGAAATTCGTCAGTGACGGGATGTGTGTGAGCATTCTTGCGCTTGATGATGGTGTCGTTCATGGTGACTACGCTGGCGCGACAACCTGTGCGGGCGCGGTTGCACGACCAGTATGTGGTGCCGAAACGGCTACGATGCTTCTCGTTGTACTTGTAGCCGCCGACGTGTAGGATCGGGATACCTCGTTTGGT